GTTGTTTTTTTTTCTTATTTTGACATTTAGTGCAGACACCCTTTGAAAATTAAATACTATTGACCTGACTCTTTAATTCTAAAAGGTAATAAAGAAGACATTATGCGAGTGCCACGTACCTCGATAACTCATTCATTCTACAACGATGGCGAAAACGGCTAAACGTGACAAGAATCTCCGAATGAAGCTCGTTGATGTGTACAATGTAATAGATATATATATATCATTTTTCAAGCGTTTAAATGTTCCTCGATCGATAATTCGTAATATTTTCAAGAAGTACAATGAGAGACATTGTGTTGAGAATAAATTAAGGACTGACAGGAAACGGTTAATTTCTGAGAGAATGGTAAAAATTGATACAGATTTCTCGAATAATCTTTTCTTAATGACAAAGGACATTTTAAAGGCAACATTGTTGAATGTATCGACGAAGACAATCACTAGATTCTTCCATCGAGCAAGACTTAGAGTTTGTCGCCCAAGGAAAACTCACTTTCTAAAGGCGAAACACGTAAAATGCAGATTATTTTATGTTACAAGCCTTCTACAATATGGGAGGAAATATTAGAACTTTGTTTTGTGGTCAGATGTAACCAAACAAGAATTATTTGGTCACATGAACTTCAATTATGTATGGAGAATATTCTATGAAGTTCACAAACCAAAGAATACCCTCCATACAATTAGGTACAGTGTTGGTAGAATTCTGCTATGGGAATGCTTTCCTGCTTCTACAGAGTACAGGGTATCATGATTAAAAAGCAGTATTTGGTTATTCTTTAATATAATAAAGTACCCGAAATTTGTCTTTGGGACGTCACTGGACATTTCAACATGATAGTGACGAATTGCTGCAAAATACTTAGATGACAGCAAAACCAAGTTCTGTCCTAAACCTCATTGTAAATTTATGAGCATATTTGAAGGAAAAAGAAAGAGAATGAAGTCCTTAAAATTTGAAGGATCTAGAAACTATTTCCCAATGAAGAATGGAACAAAATACCTATCAGCAAATCTATTGATCTTATAAAGAACTATCGAAGAGGATTACAGGCAATAATCAAGAATAAAGATTACACAGTTGATTATTGAGGCAAGAAGGCTAATAATTATGTCTTATGTTTCATGTTTTTTGATGTTTTTTGGTATTATTGTTCGACATTAAAATAAAAATTGTTTTCGTGTATCACTAGACGTCATTTTCAGACCCATTTTTTCATCATTTTTATAAAAGCAAATGAAATTTCCGTGAAAATTTTATATACTACAAACTTATTTGTAATTATGGAAGAGGATGAATCATTCTGTCCACAACTGTATATGGCAATTTACTTGGCCTAAATTACGTGTGGCATAGGGCTGAGTTTAAGGAGCACCCAATGATTATCACACTTACTACTCATTAGTAACTGATCTGCCACAACAAATATATTAATGCTAACCATTTCACCATATCTGAAAAAGTCACCATATAGGAGGGTCGTTCAAAAATTCCGAAGCTTCAACAGAAAGCTATTGCCAAGGAAGAATAGAGCCAAATACATATCAGTGAGTCTAATCATCATATAAGGAATTATCGAAAATCATTACAGGCAATAATCAAGAAGAAAGGTTTCACAATTGATTATTGTGGAAAAAGGGCCAATAATTTTGTCTTATGTTAAATGTCTTATTGGTGTGTTTTTTTTAATTATTATTCGGCATTAAAATAAAATAAAAATGTTGTGTGTATCACTACACATCCTTTCAAATCCATTATTTCACCATTTGTGAACATTTGAGGTATTACAGATTTATATGTAAAAATGGAAGATGGTGGAATCATTCTTTCCACAACTGTATATGGTGATTTACTTGGCCCAAATTACGTGTGGCATAGGGCTGAATTTAAGGAGCACCCAATGATTATCACACTTACTACTAATTAATAACTGATCTTCCACAAATATACTAACCATTTCACCACATCGGAATGCATTATTTATGAGGGTCGTTGAAAAATTCCAAAGCCTTAACTGAAAGAGTTGGAGAAATAAAACTGTTTTTTTTTATTATTAATTTTCAATATAGCGACCGCGTCATTGTTTCCTAAATGTCGATTACTCAGGTGGAGTTTGAGTTTAAGAAAAAAGAAGTCCAGATGGAGCTAAGTCTGGTGAGTAAGGGGGATGGGGTACAAATTCAAAGCTGCTACTGCAACTTGAGAACTGGAGAAAGAGCGCACCTGCTCACTGTTTACCTCTCCTTCCTTCAGTTGTCTTAACTGATGCTGTCCATTAATACTATTTTTCCCCTTTTACAGGTCGTATGCCATGATTATGTCTTCAGATCCTAAAATACGGGAGTCATCACCTATCTATCAGAAATTGCTTGATTTAACTTCATCGGGAGTGGAGAACCAGAGTGTTTCGACTGTTTGCTTAGAAACTTTGATTAGGGTTAATTTGAGTTACAAATCTGTGTCGAAATTCTCAGGGTAAGCCTGGAAGCGATTCAGAAGTGTCCTGGGATTGTCAACTCTTTTCAAATTCTTCTCTGGTGTCAAAATTCTTGAGACCCATCTTGAAGACGGCTTGCTCATCACCAAGATCTCAGTTACAACAGTACAGATCCGACCAGAACTTATGCCGATGGACTTAGCTATTTGCCAAACAGCAAGACATATGTCATCCACAAACATCCGGTGAATGGGATCAAGTTGTTCATCAGTAGTTGGGGGTTTTGTATGACCTATCCGAGAGTCATCTTCTGTCCTCTCCCTTTTCACGTTTGAATTCCGTAATCAACTGCTTCACCTTTACATAGGAAGGGGATTCCTCATCAAGTGTCTGTACGATGTCCTCATGAAATTCCTTGGGTTCTTTTTGGCATAGATTGTATGATTCCCGGGCCTCTTTTTTGTCCATTTTTAGATCCGTTGTACAAATCTTACATTTGTATTCGCCACACAAGTACAGAAATTATGACAGAAATCTGAATTCGTTTTTCTGTGATAGTTTTATAGATGTTGCAAGTGTATTGCCGCATCAAAATGTTCAGCTACGGCTCTTCGATCTAGGTGAGATTTAAAACGATCCTAGGGAGTGGACTATATATATATATATATATATATATATATATATATATATATATATATATATATATATATATATATATATATGTTGAAACTTGACTAATGCATGGAATAATAATGCAACACAAAATGTACTTAGAACAAAATGTATTGAAAACAAGAAAGTGTACACAATATTTACATATAGTCTCTTGTATATTCCTGGTAAGACCGTTCCTGGAGAATGTGTTGACTGAGTCGCAGTCAGGCAGAGTCTCTGGTTGAATCTCTTGATTCCTCCTCTCTCTTCCCGGTACCAACCATATTTATATGGTCGGTACTCCCACTATGCAAATTAGGTGGATCCTACCACAACAATATATATATATATATATATATATATATATATATATATAAGAAAATAGTTTTAACGTATTTATTGTTTACTTTATAGATCTGAACATCGAGCACAATTTCTAAAAAAAACTAGCGCTTAGTGTGCAATTCATATATATATATATATATATATATATATATATATATATATATATATATATATATATATATCTGTGTGTGGGTGTGTGGGTATGATTATAATGGACAAAGTTCGTCTGCATCATGTTTAAATTACCAGGCCAAAAGTTTATGTTTAACCATGAAACATGTTGTCACAGAACCTTTTAATACCTATGCCCACACGATTTATATCTATATATCTAGGAACAGGCAATAACAAACATACACACATGCACACACACACACAGCCACACACACACTATATATATATATATATATATATATATATATATATATATATATATAAATTATTGCGATATTCATCTTTTCAGACTGCAAGAACTTTCGGTCTAAAGTGATATCTCAGGTCATTCAATAAGTTTTGTCCGAATTTTAACTTTTTGTTAAAATGAACTAAATTTAAAGAGTATTTTATAATGTCTAATGGAGCTGAACATTATTTTTTATGTTTAGATGCATTTAAACTGATCAAATTTTATTTCATATATATATTTCATTTATATGATTTCAAGAAAGGAAACTCAGCAGCCGAAGCGGCTAGAAACATTCACTCAGTTTATGGAGAGGAATGTGTGGATGAAAGAACTTGCAGAAGATGGTTTGCAAAATTCAGAGGTGGAGATTTCACCCTTGAAGATGAAGATCGAACCGGGCGTCCAGTTGAGTTTGATGAAAAGCTTCTTGAAGTAGCCCTTGAAGAAAATCTTGAGGAAGCAGTTGAGGGATTGGCAGTGGTTCTCAGTTCAAACCATATAACTGTTCATCGTCATCTTCAACTTGGAAAATGGATGCCTCATGAATTGTCTGAAAACAAACTCAAATCCCGTGTTGTCATCTGCTCTTCTCTCCATTCTCGCCAACTTATTCCACCTTTTTTGGATAGACTTGTGACTGGCAAAGAAAAATGGATCTTTTATCGAAATCTTAAGCGTCGTAGACAGTGGCTTGGTAAAGGGGAAGGACCCCAGCCACAGCCGAGAAAGGAACTTCATGGGCAAAAGGTTCTTCTTTCAATCTGATGGGATCGCCAAGGAATAATCCACTTGGAATTCTTACCACCTAATGCAACAATTAATGCTCAAATATACTGTCAGCAATTAGAGCGTTTGAACCAATCTTTGAGGAAAAAAGAAATGCTCTAGTGAATCGAAAAAGGGTGATGTTTCATCAGGACAATGCACGACCTCACACAGCAAGAATCGCGTCATGAATGATCGAAGAACTTCTTAGTTGGGAGAAAATTCCTCATCCACCTTATTCTCCCGATCTTGCTCCTTCAGACTACCATTTGTTTCGTAGCTTACAGAATCATTTGGAAGAAACAGCTTTTGTAACACAGGAAGAGTTTAAAACTGACATTTGCGAGGTCTTCGAATCAAAGCCAAAAGAATTTTACAGTAATGGAATTAGTAAGCTTGTTAATAGATGGAAGGAAGTCATAGATAATCAGGGAAGATATATTGTTGATTGAATCTGTAATTAAATTTAATATTTGGTCACTTGTTTTCTTTATTCAAAATTCCGAGAGAACTTATGGGAAGACCTGATATATTGCAATATTCACGAAATAAATTGTAACTGAAATGAATCTTTAATCTTTGTTTTCTTGATTTATTATTATTATTATTGTATCTAATTTAAAAAAATATAAAATCGTGAGGAAAAATGCTACCACACACCTATATATATATATATATATATATATATATATATATATATATATATGTGTGTGTGTGTGTGTGTGTGTGTGTGTAGCATTTTCCTCACGATTTTATATTTTTTTTGTATAACAGAAGTGTGTGCGCCATAGAGCAAAGGGTAATGACAATGATTGTAATATCTCCACGCGTAAAGATAAGCCCCGTGTGTCTACTTTTTCTCGTCTTCTTTCCCAAAGGTGATGCCTGCCTGTGATGAGTTGATATCAAAAAAGCCGGCCACAAGAAGCGGGGTGTCTGAATACTGTCACGACATCGGACGCGACCGGGCAACGACCACGATTCTATAAAGGCACTGAAGAAGTGGACAGCGCATACCGTCACATGCCACCTCCTTTGCTTCTTTCATGCGTACGACTTCTTTATTTTTTTATTTATTTTTGAATTATTTATATTTATTTACTTAATTTTTTGCTATTCTTTTTTTTTTTTTTTTATTTAGTTCTTTGCTCGTTCGTTATTTTTTTCCGATATGTCGACTTGGGTTCTTTGACAGATTTTTTTTTCTTCTTTTAATTTCAATTTTTGTATTTTAGCATTTACTCCATTCCTTTAATCACCCAAATATCTACAACTCTCTTGTTTTTTTTTTTTTTTTTCTTTGTCCCCTCGGTCTGTTCTCGTCTCTGACGTTCCTCTTTCCCTCACTTTTTATTTCTTTTCCTTCACTTCTAACTCTCTAGTCGCTAACCCTCTTTTTCTTTCCTCTCACCCGTTCTTCCTCTCTTTTTATTATTCTTTTACATCTCGTCCCCGACACATATTTACTTAATATCACTTCCTCACAGTCTTTTCTTACTCCTCATCCCTTCCAACTTATCTCTTGTCCTCCTCTTTTCCTCTCCTCCTACTTCCGCTTTTTAATTTTCCTCTTCCCTTTCGCCCGTCATTCTGTTGGTCTCACTCTCGTCTTTCATTATCTTGTCTCTCCTCCTTCTCTCTCCTATTACGTTTCCTCTTCCCCCTCGCCTGTCATTCTGTTGTTCTTACTCTCGTCTTTCATTATCTTGTCTCTCCTCCTTCTTTCTCCTATTACTTTTCCTCTTCCCTCTCACCTGTCATTCTGTTGTTCTTGTCTTTCTTTATCTTGGCTCTTCTCCTCGATACGGCCTTTACTTTTCTTCCTCCCTCTAGACCATGGTTCTGTTGTTCTCACTCACGTCTTTCTTTTTTTGACTCTCCTCCTCCACTCGCCTTTTACTTTTCCTCTTCCCTCTCGCACATCTTTCTGTTGTTCTCACTCTCGTCTTTCTTTATCTTGAATCTCTACCTCCTCCCGCCTTTTACTTTCCCTCTTCCCTTTTATTCTCATTCCTTCCTCAATTTAGTCCCCTTCCTTCTCTTCCAATTTTCACTTCCGTTCTTTTGACGGTACTCCATCCTTTACGCCTCTCCTTTTACCTTTCGTTTTCTTCTTATTTCTCTTCCCTCTACCATTTCTTCCTCCCGTTATATTTGCTTTTCTTTATCACTCTTTTCCCTTTTGTCCCTCTCTTTCCTTATAAGTTTTTCCTCCCATCCTTCTCCTCTTGACTCTCCTCCTTCTGGTTTTTCTTCTTTCCATTAGTCTTCCTCCCTCCATCTCACATTTCCTCTTCGTTATCGCCCTACTAACAATCCCTTTGTCTTCTTCTTTTTTCTTCTTCTTTTTTTATTATTATTATTATAAAATTATAGTATATATAAAATGTACTTATTAGGGTCCATTAACTCAAGAACTACAGACACACACTCATACATATTAACCCTGTATTTCTTTTATCTATTATAATGCTTCCCCCCATGTATATATATACGTAACCAAATATATCTATATGCACGTCAGTAAATATCGAGATTAATTATGGAAAAAAAAAATAGCTTATATTTTTACCCAAGATGCATTTCCCTTTCTACAACAAGCCTTTTCCTTTTCTACGTACTTAATTCACAGGTGAAAATTAATCAATTAGATCAAACGTTTCAGGTAAAAATATTCAACTTATAACGCCGTCTCAGGCAGCGGACTTATTGATTCATCCTTTTACAATCATATAAAAACATAAAAAATTCTATCTATCTCTCCATCACCCTCTCTCTCACACACACTCTCTCTCACAGACACACACACACACACACACACATATATATATATATATATCAGATATATATGTAATTATTCATATCTTATATATATATATATCTGTATATATATATGTATGTAAATATATATGTATATATATGCAAATATATAAGTAGTATATACATTTTATATATGTGTAAAATATATCAAATATATATATATATATATATATTTTTCTTTTCTTAATCATTAATATATATATATATATATATATATATATATATATATATATGTGTGTGTGTACTTATATATATACCTATATGTACACTTATAATTACACTCCTACATATATATATATATATATATATATATATATATATATATATATATATATATATATATACCAATATATACACTTATATTTATACTCTTATATATATATATATATATATATATATATATATATATATATATATATATTCAATTGCATTGCGATATTTCCCTTTAAGATTTTGCTTTGCAGCCGTCATTCTTCGTTTCTCCTTTGCTGTCATCTCTAAAGAATAAAATAAATACAATACAAAAAAACCACTGGTCTTAGCCGTGACATCACAGAGCCAATAATTCCTGAAGCTTTTTTATGTGCTTTCCTTCTATTTTTTTTTTAACATTTTTCTTATTTGGTGGCGGTTAGAGATGAAAGCGTCATGGTCAGCACGCAACTGAATTCTGTTCAGAATTCCCGCCCTGCGTCTCTGCTTGCGTCTCCAAAAAGCAAGGACCATCCGAAGTCTGTTTCAAACTAGCAGAAAGCGAAGCAAATCTGACCTTTCGCTTCAACTGTGATACGTGGGATTAACAGCGGACACAAGTGCGCATGCGTGCAGAAGTCCTGCATGTACACGTCCACGCAAGCACAAACACTGACATGTATAAAAGCGTATAATTTTTTGTTCATGAGTTTCTGTAAGTGTTAAATCTATCATTTTGCACGTTTTTTCTTTTTTCTTTTCCCAGTTTTAATGCGAGCTTAAGTATAGGGACATTTGTCAACGTATAGACGTTTACACAAGTAAACGCTTATCATATAACTATTATTCACAATATTAAGAATATTAATAATAGTAATATTTTTTGTTTATTGATCTTATATTCAAATCATATTTATTTCCTAGTTTAATTTGTTGAAAAATTAAAACGTTTAAATTACTATCAAACGTTAACGGCAAAATATATAAATCTGAGTTTTTCCAAATTAGCCGCAATATGCCCAGATACATTAATTCTCTTAATTTTCCTTCTCTTTCCAAATCTCTATTCCTCTTTCTTTCCTTAAACCCCTACTTCCACTTCTGATTTCTTACATCTTTACTTCTCTTTTTTCTTTTTATATCGTTTCCTGTGAGATGACCTATTAAAAAGGTCAATGTCTGGTCAATACCCCCCCCGCCCTCACTATTAAATATTGTAATAAATATAAATTTGAAATCATTACTATCTCTCCTTTCCCTCTTTAATTTCGACCATGTCTGTCACAAACTTTCGTCGCAGTCTCCATCTCACCTTACATCAACTTAAAACTAACCCTTCAAAAGTGTATAAAAACTATATGTAAATTTAAATTCATTTTACACCTTTGGAAGTGTGGTCTAATGAGCCAGGGAAAAATAAATTCCCTGGGGAAATAAATTATAACAAATGGACCCTTAAAGGTATCGGTTTTCATTGAATATATATATATATATATATATATATATATATATATACGTTGATATGCGCTTTCGTCATCCTTTTAATCAATAGACAGATAAATAAATATATATTTGTATTTTATAATATAGGTTTAACATAGAGCAAATTTATGCTTTCTTTAAAATTAATGATTTTTTTAATCATTTCACCCTAAGCAAGGCAATAAAGCCACTAGGATGCATTGGGTTATTAAATATAAGAAAAAGAAGGAATTATTGAAGGGAGAGGACAAAAAAAAACAAGGATTTAAGAAACAGAAGATATCGATAGACATTGCATTTACGTGTTCGAAGATCAAATTTGACTGGGAAGCAAGAAACTAGAAGATTCTTCGGTACGAATAATATTAATTCTTTTCTTTCTTTTAATTTTCTGTGTCCTATCATTATGTAGGCGATCATGGCTCTCCACTTCTTCCTATCATTTGAGGCTCTCAATAAGTTTCGTGCCTTTGCCAACTCCACCAGTCCACTTTCTGCCCCCCCTTCACTTAACTCCGCCAGGTATGTCAAGCGTTGCTTTCCCTTGTCTCTTTTGCCCTCTGTTCGTCCTGTGAGTGTCAGATTCTCCAAGCCCTCTTTTCTCATTACGTGTCTCAGAGACTTCAGCTACCTCTTCCTGATGTTAAATATAAGCTTCCTCCTTGTTTGCATCCTCTCCATGACCTCATCGTTGCTCATATGTTCGATCTCTGAGATCCTTAGATATGTCATGGCTAATTTCCCTAGACCCTGTTCTGTCATCCATTTGCTTAAGCCCGCTAGGTATGTCATACGTTGCTTTCCCTTGTCTCTCTTTTCCTCTATTCGACCAGTGAGTATCAGATTCTCCAAGCGCTCCTTTCTCATTATCTATCCCAGAAATTTCATCTGCCTCTTCCTGATGTTAAGTATTAGCTTCCTCCTTGTTTGCATCCTCTCCAAAACCTCATCGTTGCTCACAGGCTAGCGCTATGATATCCTTATCATCCTTCTGTAGAACCACATCTCCGCCGCTTCGAGTCTCTACATCTTTGAGGAGACCGTCCAATATTCGCTGCCTTATAGTAGGACAGATGTCATGTAGCAGCTCAGTACTCTTTTCTTTGTCCCCAAAGAAATCCTCCTGTCTCGCAGTACTCTAGCCGGCTTTTGGAATGTCTCCTTGGCCATCCCAATCCATATTCGAATCTCAGCTTCACACCTACCGTCCTCCGTCAACACATTTCCCAGATAATTAAACTTCCGCACATCTTTGATTTTAGTGCCAACCTCCCCCCCCGACCTGCAAATCGCATTTTGGGCTCATCCTTTTACTGATGACGATTCATTCTGTCTTCTTGTAGTTTATCGTTAGTCCCTTCTTCTTACTCTCCCTCGTTACCTTCTGTAGGAATTTTTTTAGTTTCTTTTCTGTGTTTGCTATCAGTACTATGTCTTTATTATATCTTAGGTTGGTAAAATTGTGACCGCCAATGGTGAATCCCAGTAGGATCTTCAATTCTCTCAGAATTGCCTCGCTGTATACTTTGAATAAGTCTGGTGAGAAGACACATCCTTGCCTTACTCCCCTTCCTATTTTGTATATTCGCTGAACTCGGTCTCAATTCGCGTGCATGCCGTTTGCTGCTAGTATTTGGTTCTTGATTACTCTTATGTCTTTCCTGAATATATCAAGGTTGCTGAGCAGTTCCAGCAGATCCTTGTGGCGTACTTTGTCGAACCCCTTTGCGTAGTCTATGAAAGATAGGTACACGTCCTTATGCATTTGTATAGCTCTTTCTGATAACATTCTGAGCATGAATATTGCGTTCTTTGTTCCGGTGTCTTTAACGAAACCGCATTGTTCTCATCGTCTCTCTGGCACGACTTTTCTATTAATCGAGCAAAAAATCAGGCAGAAGGACCAACTAGATTTTTAAAAATATTTTTAAAGTGTTCTAAGAGAGGGAAAACAACAGACAGACAGAGAAAGTACATTGGCACATTCAAATATTGGACCTATGCCTAGCTTTAACTACATGAGTTAAATGCAATTTAGGAAAAATGTTAAAACTATTGCGGTTATATGAGGGAAGAGTTATAATCTCATGGAACAAACTATTGTTTGTATTTTTTTTTTGTTTTTTTGTTTTGTTTAGCGGTGTATCAACACCTCTATGGGTTATTTAACGCCGAAATCTAAATATGAAAATTCGAATTAATCGAAAATATGACAATTTCTTGATTAAATTATAATTTTGTTTCTGCTTACAAGAAATGCGATTAATCATAGAATGTTTTAATTTTTAATTTTATTTATTTATTTATTGTTGACAATATAAGCCAGATTTTCAATTTTACTATGAATTGCGTTGATTGTGATTTTGCTATAAAATGAATTGCTGGTCATTTTGTTACTAGGACGTAAGGGTTAGATATTATGGGAAAAACTACTATTAAGGAGAGAGGACAATTAAAGAAGAATTAAGAAGATAAAAGGTATCGAATGATATTGCATTTAATTTTTTAAGGATCAAAGGCAATAAAGCCACTAGGACGCAAGAGGTTACTAAGCGTTAGAGAATATGAGAACAACTACTATTAAGGAGAGAGAACAATAAAAGAAGAAGAATTAAGAAGACAGAAAATAACGATTGACATTGGATTCAAATTTGTAAAAATCAAAGGCAATAAAGCCACTCGGATGCAAGAGGTTACTGAGTGTCAGAGAATATGAGAAAACTACTATTAAGGAGAGAGAACAATAAAAGAAGAATAATTAAGAAGACAGAAAATAACGATTGACATTGCATTTAAATTTCTGACGATCATTTGCTACAATGTAAGTGGCATGGCGTGTCCTAGCCGTGAAGGTTTACCTAGCGGAACCAAGGAATGTAGTTCGTCGGAGCACTTTACGTGGAAA